GCCATGCTGCTCCATAAGCAAAGGAATATCACATTCTACTTGGTATAATTTATGTTATTAGAAGGATACAGGCAAACCGGGTTCTGTCGTTCTGCCAGCAAAGGCATCACGTGTCTGTATCAGGTGTGCTACCACGTCCTTGTTTCGTTTGACCTTTGCAAGGCTAAGGCTTGATGACTACAAAAGATGTACGAGGGTCTTTCAGTGGGTCCTGGCGGGCAGTAGCACGTTTTGTCCGATACCTGCAATGGTTTCTGGTCGTCTCCATTGACATGTCCAGCATCTGAAAAGGCCAAGCATGAGATCCGCAAACCCCACGAGAGGCATGAAGCATCTTGGGCACGACAAGAGCGATCTTGACGTTGGGCTTGAGATACTCAGCAGCAGGTGAAACCATGGAAGCAGGATGACTTAAGCTACCTCTCTCTCTCTCTCTTCCTTTTCTAGATGTCTGCCTTTACCTCTCTCTGAGGGGGCGCGAGGTGTCTTGCTCAGGTGAGGGGAGATTCACAGTGGCCAAGACTCGATAGGCTCTGGCCGTCATGGGAGTTGTCATGATTTGGTGCTGACCAAGTAGACCCATCTGGAGGAGACTTTCCGCGGCAACATGGGTTTCATAGCTGTCGGAGCTTTTGGATTCATGGATTCGGCTCTGCATCTCAGAGGTCTACACGTACAACTTGGTTAGGTCCAGGGTTTGTAGCTGTCAAGAGAAGAAGAAAGTGAGGCTCAAGTACTCAGCCTAAACGTTGAGGCTGGCTCTTGCCGATAAAGGCATTTTCTGTTTTGGGCGGGTTTCCTCACTGCGTTAGAGCATGTGTATTCAGGATGTATGTGCTACCGCAATTGCACAGAGACGTGCAGGAGATTGTCTTTCATTGGCTCTTACAAGCAAAAGCATGTGATGGCACTTGGGAACCTTGGAATGCTGCGACTTAAATTAATAAAGTTACCATAATGGGTATATATAGTAAATAGCAGATTTTCCCCAATAAAGTGACTTAGATTAAGTTCCATAACAGCAACCCAGGATAGGACTTTGCTTGTCCCAATTCCGCGCTACACCTAAACCTCGAACGCTTGATCCAGAGGATCCATGTAGCTATGTGGTATATACTTGGGCCTTGCGGTAGGTACATGGGAATCCCATTGGGTCCTAATTATATACCATGTACCTACATGAGCCATAGTCTAAACTCCTAGTATCCACCTTAATAACCCCTATAGTAGTCTCCTATATAATCCCCTATATAACCGCCTTTAAGGAGATTACCATATACCTACACCCTAAACCCTAAACCCTATGGACCCTTTGAATGAACCCTTCAGGCATGCAAAGGGGATCATTCTCCGACAGATTCAGGGGGAGGTCGGAGCCCAAAAAACTTTGGCCCAGGCACCGGCACCACTAAACCCTCTGAATCCAAAAGAGCTACTTCACCCCTATCCTACACGCAATCCATATTCCGACCCGTATGAGCTCAAGGGGGATGTGAGGGGATTATATGGGGTAGTATTATAGGGCCTTCCAAGGGGGATACTAGGAGTTTAGACTATGTAGCCCATGTTACATCCCCCCGATGAGGAAAGGCACCGGCGATGAAGCCTACCTGTTGGCAGTCTCTGAATGCCTGCTCCTCTTTGGCAAGCGCTCGTTGAAACCCCATGACGCGAAGGGTGAAAGCCCTAAACCCTAAAGGTTCAGGAGTTAGGGGACCAAGGTTTGGGCTGGGTGGCAAATTTCCGATGTGAGATTCGTTTGTTGCGGCCAGTCACTTGCCCTGGAACAGCTGCCCCCACACCTCGAACGAGTACTTTGTATTTAAGGGACCCTGTGCCGCTGTCCTTCTTACGGTGCGATGTAGTGTTGTCTAATATAATATAGTAGTTTCCATTCTATTTTCCATTATCTCACCATAACATAAATATGTACCCTATATAACCCAATATATCCCAATATAGGGACTGTCCGGCTCCTTCGGTAGCCCTTGGTTTGGCAGTATGGGGACAGCTTCCCGAGACGGCTTCCCGAGACCTTTCATCAAGGTAGCCCCGATGTTTGAAGACTTTTGGGCGTTCTTATTTCATAGGCCCTTACCTGGGTAGGACTATGGGTTTCTTAAATATTTCCCCTTACTGGCTTTATAGGGCCCATCTACACAAATATTCTTCAAGGGTCTCTAAAGGCCAACCAAGTTACCCGCACAGCGATACAAACAGGCTGCAGTTAGAGTATGCAAGATCAATACAACAATTGCCTCAGTGTTGGCCTCTTCGCGGAAGGAACCTCCCGGGCAGCTGAAAGTGCACTAGCAGACTTCCAACTCGACGGAGTGTGAATGTTTTAGGCATTTGCCTAGTCGGGGCTTGAATGACTACGACCGCTGACCTTCCCCTGACTTTCCCCAGCCAGACCTGAACCCTTAAAAGGTCCTTGCGAAGACTACCATCCTTGTAGAAGTATGTGTTCCGCAGATCAAGCTTTTTTGATAGTACCCTCATCACGCATCCACACGCCGTTGAAGTTTAGGAAGTCTAAAAATCAGGGTAGCTGTCCGTGCGTGTTAGGCTTTGGATATCCTCTTGCAATGACTAGTACATATAATATGCAATTACTTCATCTTGTTCCAGCTTCTGGACCGCAAGCCCTAAAGCTCTAGGTTTAGGGTTTACTAAACCCTTGAACCCACCTTTTTATAGCCAGTTCAGTCATGGCAAAACGCAAGCAATATTCCAAGAGCTCTTCTGCTGACACGTTCAGCGACTCGCCAAGCCCTGACTCCTGGGAGATCGTGTATGATGAATCTGGGCCCGCAGTTAAATGGGTGTCGAGGGTTATATAAGGGTTATGCAGGGTTTAGGATGTGTTTGTGTTGGTTTAACTCCTATTATCCATTGTGGTGGTAGCTGCTACTGTAAGGGTGCATGACCCAAGCTTTATGATCTTAGTAAAAGTACCACAACGCTTGGAAACCTTATTGTCGACTACAAGCCCTAAACCCTGAACCCCCATCTGAGCTCCTTGACAAGTTCTCAGGACTTGGGTGCGAGATCTGGAAACCTACAGCTCCAGCTTGAACGGGCCACAGACCCGTGGAGCTAGTGTTTACTGTTTTGCGCCTAGGGTTTAGGGCTTAGGGTTTAGGGCCTAGGGACCTTACTATACAACATGGGGCTTAGGGTGTATAGGGTTTACTGCAGGCAGGATTTTTAGTAGTTGTCCCCTTGGTGTTCTCGTGTCGCTGCACCTTGAGGTTGGCAAGATTATAGGCCCGGTGAGCGTTCACAAGTCAAGCTTACATGTTCACACATCTGACCGAGATGAATAAGGAAGCGACACGCAGAGAACGGGAGAGGCGCAAGAACGAAGAACGACAACACGAGTCCACCAGGCAACAGCTGCATGATGCGGAGACTTGTGCAAGTTTCAGGATTCTGTCCAGGGAATGCTATCCATCAACATGCTCGGGACGGACGGAATGATAGAAGGGATTCCGATTATTGGAAGTATTTGAAACTCAGTTGTAAAGATGGTGTGCCTCTGCTGTCCCAGAGTCTTTTCGGCGGTTGCTGATACTGTCGAGCGAATCATTCGATCTGCAGCAGCAACCCGCCCAATGCAAAGAATACAACGCGGACCACCCTGTACAGTCTGTGCCTATCGAATCATCGACGTTTGTTTTGGAAACAGATTTCATCCAAGGCATGTAGGTATCCTGTACAAGTGGGAAGCAACAATGCCCAGCAAATGTACGTGGCAGGTCGCAACAGTCCTGAAGTGGTAGTTGCCTTCCCATACCCGTCGACACGTGGTCCGCATTTTTCGTTTCAATCCCATTGCTAGCCCTTTTCAAGACAAAGCTCTTAGCTGCAAAGGGGCAACGCCTTTTTTGGGAAAGTCCCTACAGGGGTGTCCATGTTGATTCCTAAGCGCAGGAGCGAAAGCAAAGAGAAGCTTCTGAGAAGTTGCTTTCGGAAATTGTGCATGCATTACGTGCTATTTTGTGAAGTAGCTCTGAACTCTGAACCCCATCATGGTAGAGTGATGTTAGGGATCCTCTATACTGTTGGGGTATGGGATTCCTTATATTCATTTTTTTGGTAGGGTACTGTGGGTTAAGATCATGGTAGAGAGATGGGAGCAAAAGGAATGAAGCCTGCGGTGCAGGATTACATTTCCTGTCTTCAATTTGGCAGCGTAAGGATGCGAAATCCACAGAAAGGGAAAGGAGGAGGACCGAAGAGCAGAGACATGAGGCTACGAAGTGCCGTCTCAAGGATGTTGAGACTTGGCAAGTTGAAGCGACCTCCTCCAAAAATGGTGGCTTATATAGGGAATTATATGGATAAGTACCCAAATGACGTTATTTGGGGAGTTGAAATGATTACTAGATACTCTTGGACTTCCACAAACAGCAGACCCAGCATGGCATACTATTTGCGAAGCAGGTGGTTTTAGCCTCACGTAACTTTCAAGCAGCTACGGCCCAGTTCGCACGAGTGCTTATGTCCTTACCCTTAATCAAGCTTTGAACCGAACGTTTGCACAAGATTCAGTGCCTTACCCCCCAAGTTGATCTTTAGCAACTGCAAGGAAATCCAACTGAATGGAGCCATTGCCGCGTTGTCCGAGGAGCCGTGCCACTGCTAGCCATAAGCGGGGTCTTAACAGATTCGCGTACCATGAGATAGAAGCTGAACAAGTGGTGGTGATCACGATTTCATACTGCGGTCTATAGTCCCCTTAAGTAGATGGAATATGGGTTTGCCCGATACCATAACGAGATCCCAATATACCCCATATCCTATCTACTCCAACGGAACTACAACTGTGCTTCAGCTTTTGTCAAGTTCTGTGTCATGGAGAAGACCTAGCAGGTAATAATGCGCAGCAGCATTTGTGATTGTGGAGTTTCCACAAAACGGTTTGCTTCTAGGAATCTCGTTTAACATGGCTCTCCAGCAACAAATTCCTGTCTGTCTCTGACAGATGCTAAAAGGAGCGAGAGAAAAAGGAAGCTGCGGAGAAGAGGTCGTCGGATGTGACACCAAAGCCTGTTGCCTGTCACGGTGCCTACTGGCAGTACGAGATGGACGGTCACTGGCACCCGTTCTCGCCCGAGGGCAACGACCAGATGTTTCAGGCTTACAAGGTGTACATTTCTGATGCGCAGAACGGCCGCACAGCAAGCATTGTTGCGGGTGGAGTGGAGCGCATTGTCGATTTTCAGCTTATGACCCAGATGCATGCAAGCACGAAGACAGTTCGCCAAATCCGCATTGTTGCGGGTGTGCCGCAGCAGTGGGTGAGTGCTCCGGCAGCTTTGTTGACACAGAGCGACCATCTCGCCTCGCTGTATGTAAAGGTTTTAGATTCAAGGCTGGTTGAGCAGGTAACTCAAGTTTTACGGTCCACAGGTCACGCATGGGACAAATCAGTCCCATGTTCTCACATGAGGGGAGCAACCATCAAATCTATTCATCGGATCGAGAACTTCCCACTTTGGCATCGGTACAAAGCAAGACTTGCCGCTATGAGGGAGGATCATACCAGGTACAACATTTCGGTGAACCCTGTAGATCTTGATCTTGATGGCCGTGAGGGGACAATGTCTTCAAGCCAACGGGTTTTGGATTGCGGCGATTCCCTGGCCTGGGATGTGGATGAGAAGATTTTACTACATGGCACGTCATGGGACAATGCTAACTCTATTGTCATGCATGGCTTTGACCACAGGACTTGTACACGTGGGATGTATGGTGATGGTGCCTACTTTGCCGGGGCTGCATGCAAGAGTCATCAATACACCTGCAGCAAACATTCAGGCAAAGCCTGTGCTTGCAAAAGCGAGAGAACCCTGATCATTGCGCGTGTCGCGTTGGGCGATGCTTACCACACCTCTTTCACGCGACACGGAGATAGGAGGGCTCCCAAACGAAGGCAGGCAAGCGGTAACCACGATTCTGTTGTGGTCAACCCAGGACCCATCACTGGGCATCACAATCCGATTCAACTACACCAGGAGTTTGTTATCTTTGGCCAAGAACAAGCCTATCCCTCGTTCATTGTGCAGTATGTTCCCTAGAGTCCTGTCCAAAGGATTGCTGGCGTCTAGCGCGACAAAAGAGCAGCAAGGCTTGCTTGTCCTCCAATTGGTTATACAGGGGTTATATTGGGGTTATATTGGGATAATGGAAAAGAAAATGGAAGCTACCATATTATAGGGGTTTCTCCCAGTAGCAGGGAGTTTTCCCACGGAGTCTGGATATGTCACTATGACGAAGCCAGGCTCTCACAGCCTTTGCGGGAATTTTCGGTCTGAATGCCAGATTATAGAAGAGCCATATATTGGGACCCTGGCGCCAGGGGTTTCTGGTTGGAATGAAGGCCTGTGGGTTGAGGTTTGTCGTGCATGTTTGGAGTAGCGTTTTGAATTGCATGCACACTCGTCAATGGCATGGCACTGTATCAAGTTCGACAACTGTCCTTCCCCAACCAGACCTGAACCCCCAGAAAGGAGCCTATATTAGCCTATAAAGACTACCATCCTTGTAGAAGGATGTTTTCTGGCGTTCAAGCTACTTTGCTAGAGAATCAAACCTTCACATACCCTTCTTTAGACAAGTCGTTAGGTGTGGTAGCATGTGCATGGTGCCTCAGTGCCATCAGTGCACGCCAAAGGGTTGAACTTTAGGAAGTCCAGGATTCAGAATAGCAGGCTCTTAAAGTCGGAGCCCTGAATCTCAATTTCTAAATCCCCGGCCCAACGTCCTGAACACTAAGCCCTGAATCCCATAGTAGCTTGCATTTTCTTCCCGAAGCCATGTCTAAGGTTTGGCACTTTGGAAGACTTTCGCCCGGACCTTGTCATCTATGACGCGGGCGTGGACGTCCATGAGGATGACGACCTCGGGAACTTGCGCTTTGGATGTATGTGGGTTTGAGGGGGGAGGGTGAGGGTTTAGGGTGTAGGGTTGGGTACCATTGTTGGGGGTCCCCATCACAAGGGTGTAATATAGACCCCTGATTAATGAGCCAATGGGGATTATAATATGGATCCTAATATTTAGCCCGGCCCTTAAAAGGAGGGGGTGTACAAATCATGGGTCTACATTAGCACTGGAGTTGCCATGAGATAGGCTGGTGAACATCATTTGAAATCTTGACTGGCTCAACATTGTTGGATGCCAGCACCCTGAACCCTTAAACCCTAATTACAAACTACTGCACCAAGCCTTGCACAACCTTGACCTGTACTTCGGGACAGCTAGGTCTGCCTTTGGGATTAGGCATCTTGTATACTTGTAGGATCTGCTTCAGCATCTAGCGTTTTCTGAATTTTTCTTATTCGACTATAACCCTAAGGGCTCCAAATAGCCCAATGTAGGTCATATTTATAGGTTATGGGGCCAGTGCAGGTAATATCTATGGACATGGAGCCCTAGGGTAGTACAAAACATCTTGTCTTTCCTGGGTGGGAGAGGGACCAAGACAATGATTGTAATGTTTGTCTTGCGCCGCCTGGGTTGGGGGTATGTTTGGATCGTATGCTGCTCTCAAAGACTTTAAGTTCGTACCCTTAACGTTTGTAACCCTAGGTTTTGGGTCCCAATGCCCTTATTAAGGGCCATATTCCACCGTGTAGGGGCCCAAAACCCAAAGGTACAAACCCTAAGGGTACAAAGGAAAACTCCCTGCTGTCTTCACTTTCGGCACAAGACCGGGTAACGGACGAAACCTGCATCTCCACCACCACGCCGTAGGATTAATGGGGTTTACGGTTTAGGGTTCAGCGCTTAGCATTTAGGGTTTACGGTTTAGGGTTCAGGGTGTAGCATTTAGGATTTAGGTTTAGGGTCTGGGGTTTAGGGCTTAAGGTTTAGGGTTTAGGGTCAAGCCGACACAGTGTGGCCAAACTATTGGCGGGCGTTGTTCTAGGGCTCCAGATACCCCAAAGAAGTTACTTGTGGGTTCTTGCAGCCCAAGTTTGTAGAAGCTGAAGGGTTCCCAGAGGGAAAAACAGGGTAAACGTGAGGGTGGACAAGCAGCGTTTCTGGCAACAAACTACTACCCGGCCAAAATAAATTGTAAGAGTTATGGTCCTAGATTCCTGTGTGCTCATCTGGACATGTTTGTCCAACTCCGCTGCCGACTTTCAAAGGCTAGAGCCATGGCGCCTTATTTGGGGTCAAAGAAGGTTTAGCCCAATATTGGTGTACTACATTTATTATTTTTCCCTGGGTTCTTATTATAGCAACCTATACATAACAAGACATAAGTCTATACTACTTTTCTGGTGTGTACTCCAAACTAGAGTTCAGGTTTAGGGTTTAGGTCGGCCTTAGGCAACTACAAGGAAATTTCACTTCATATTCTTCGTCGGCTTTAGGGAGCACATCTACAAGATCCGTTAACTGAAATACTATTACAATTGCCACTACGGATCAGTATTACTATGAACCCTAGGCCTTAAAAACCGAAAAACCTCAAACCTAAACCCTAGACCCCTAAACGCCAAAACCTTAAACCATGTGAGCCCTGGACTAAATTTCTGGTATAAAACCTAGACCCTAAACCTATCTCCCCCTGTACGTCTCCCCCAACCTAACTTGAGTTTGTGGCTCATGTATCCATTCACTGTGGCCTAGGTGTATCTCGTGGGAAGGCCTCCGGAAACGGGAGGCTGGAGTCTGGTGTTTGCATTTGAGGGTTTAGGGTTTTAGGGCTCAGGGTTTGAGGGTTTGGGGTTTTGGGAACTGGGGTTTTAGGGTCTAAGGGTTGAAGAGTTTAGGGGTTAGGATTTAGTTTTAGGGCGGGTTTACAATGTTTTTTTCAGTTGGCCCGCTCCCTGGGGATCTAAGTCATGCCTACATTGGGCCCTAAGGTCTAAAAGTATTGCCTGTTTGATTGTGCTCTTTGGGGCCCCGCTGTGTAGCATCGGGCTTTATGTAGGGACTACGTACTGCAAGGATCCAGTCCCTCATTCCTTTTACCAGAGTTAAGCTTGAGGCTTGTGGGACATGAGTTTCGTTCCCAAGCACAACGCAGAATCTACTGTTGATGGGAGGAAGTTCTTGCACCGCGTAGGGTCTCCAGACGACGGTAAGTGAATTAAATTTGGAACTTAGGATCCTGCACGATTTCTTCCCACCAGTCTGGCCTGAGGAATTAGATAGAGCTAGGTCAGCCATCTTTTTCGTTTTGGATTTGTGTTTCTGGATGAGGTATGCGGATCAGAAGGGGGTGAGGGCGATTCCTGGAGAGTTTTTTTGCAGCTTAAAGCATGGGCTCCTGGAGAGCGCCTAAAGCACAAGCCCCCCTTGAGCCAGCGATTGCCTAGGGCCCGCTGCACTGGCGAACCTAAAGCCTAAAGACCTAAACCCTAAACTGTCGACAGCGCGGCTGACCATGCACATATGAGCTATAGTCAAAACTCCTTAAAGGAGGTTATCTGAGGGAGCATTATGGAGGTTATTAAGGGGGATACTAGGAGTTTCGACTACAGCTCAAATAGTAGCTTCCATTTTCTTTTCCATCATTCCATTATAACCCCAATATACCCTGAATAAGGCAATCGTAAGACGTGGCCACTGATGGCACAACAGACTTGCGTTCCTGGGTAGGGTTTTAGGGGGTTGGGATTTAGGGATTTGGGGGTTTAGGATTTAGGGATTTAATGTTTAGGGTTTAGGACATAGTTGGGTACAACTCCTCCAAGGTAAACCGTGCTGAGGGTAAGGCAGGGGTTTTTTTGTATCCACACTATCACAGGGTTTCCCGTGATTACCACGCACTCATACTATCCCTCCCCCAAGGTTTCTTGTTCATTTACGCATATTTAGGGTTAACGAAGGCTACTTCACAGGAATTGTTTTGGGCGCTGGTATCAGAGCCAAGCGAGGGCTACATGAGCATCTCGCTATACAACTGCAAATGGGGACCGCTCCAAAGAAGCACGATAATGCCTATATCAGCTATAGTTTAACATCCTAGCATCCGCCTTGCAACCCCTATAATACTCCCCTGTATAATGTACTCTATAACCCCCCTTGAAGGAGCTTAGACATTAGCTCACATATGCCTGGGTCCTCAGGCCAGTTCCCGAACTCGAAAACTCCTACATGACCGCCCCTACATCCTAACCCAAAGCGTAAGCCGCAGCCCGAAGCAGAACCCCAGACCCTAGTAAGGCTTTACCCTAAACCCTAACCCTAAACCCTTTAGGTTATGGGGTTCGACCAGGACCTGGTAATCCATGCTTGCCTGTCGAAGCGTATTCCAGTGGCTTGCGTAGCCTGGCCTTCTTTGGGCTTTTTGGGGTTAGGGATTACGGAGATACGGGAGGATGAGATGGAAGGGAAATGAGACATTTGGAAGTTACATGGAACCTGGGGTTAGGTACTTGTTTGGGTTGTTTTAGGGTTTAGGAGTTGTAGGGCAAATCCCTAGCTGTCATCAGGTAATGTCTTCTAGTCGCCGTGTGCCTATACCTAGATTGATCATGCTGCAGAAGCACTAGGTCACTAGGGTAGGGCCTTGGGCTAACACGTAAGCGAAGGATTGTAAAGTAGGGTTTAGGGTTTACATGGGGGGTTTTGGTAGAGGGGCTAGGTGTTCGAAAGGGGGAATTGGCTATAAGGATGGTTTTGTTTGAGGATGCTACCAAGAAGGCTATATCTATATATACGGATGACCGTTTTGAGGGCTTTGCAGGGACAACTGTTTGATGTTTTTCCAACAAAGCATGAGTAAGAGTAGTCCTCATAGCTACTAGCTACGCATGATAGACATGAATCGGGTTTGGGGGTTCATCGTTTTCGTGGGTTTGCATGCGATCTCGCCTACCGACGCCCCCTCACCTATGCCACCCCCAAACGTCTACTGAATCAGTCTTAATCAGCCCTACCCTAAACCCTTAAAAGATCGTAAGTCTCCAAAGGGCAGCCTTGAGATTTTGGGCGAGGGGCCACGGTTGTCAAAAGAACGCTAGACCGAATGGCTCAAAGGACAGTCGTGGTTGTACAGCTTTTTGGGGGGGTTCAGCGTGAGCTTTTGTCTCAACTCCTGAAGGAGGATTATATGGGG